GTCTTCTTGAGATTGAGATTGAGATTGGGATTGGGTGGTGCTGTTGTTGATTGAATTAGAAATAAAGGAGGGATCATGGAGGAGAAGGCAAGAAGAAGAGGAGGCCATCAGAAAAAACAAGGGGAAGGGGCTTTCAGCATGCTACTAAAGAGAAGCAGCAGTTGAGAGTAGGAAGAAATAAGACTTGTTGCCTGCCTTTGTAGTAGTAGTAATAAAGAGGAGAAGGGAAGAGATCAAAGCTAAATAAAAATAAAAATTAAAAATACAAGCGAAGAGAGCATTGGAGAAGGGGTAAGTAAGCTTAGGCCAAGGAGATAACAGCAGTGGCTTCACCTCTTCCCCAAAAAAAAGAAAGAGAGAAAGCACAGTGGAGCCGCTGGGGCTTGCGCTGGATTCAAGGAGGAGTGTTATGTTTCTGTTTGGATGTTAATGAGGACTCGTAAGCAAAAGATGTGGACCCTTTTTGTGTATTATTACTGTGCCTTTTTGTCTGGGTTATTACTATTTCCTTACCTACTGTTTATTTAAATGAAGTTAGCTTTTTTTACTTTTGACCTGGGATGAGGATGGAATAGGCTTGGGATGAGGATGGAGAAATTGCGGTTGGGTTTGAACAGTTTAGAATTTAGGGCTGTTGATATAATTAAATATTTTAACCATTATATTTGGGGGGTTTCGCACTAATTCCACATAGGGCTGTCCATCCGGGCCGGGCAAAACAGGAGCTCCGGGCCGGCCCGGGTTTTATTTGTTTTTTAAAATTTTTTCCTTTTTTAAATTTTTTCAAGAATACAAGGCAAAATAATAAACACAATTTTGATAAAAATTTATATTATTAATTAATTATAATTATATAATTTATAAATATAAAAAATTATAGAAATTAAAATAATATAAAATAATTACAAAATTTATAGAAATAAATAAAATTAAAAATAATTGTAGAATTCAAAGAGCCTAAGAGCCCAGGGCCCAATCAAAGACATATAAATATATATGCTATGACTAGGATTTGAATCACTATCCTCATCTCCAAACTTCTAAATTTTACCACTAGACTAAGTACTCCAAAACATTC